CTGGGAGTGAAGGGATGGCCAGGTGAGGTTTGCAATGAGCTGGATGTTACAGCTGCTGGTGCCAGCCTGGTGAGCTGGGCTGAGGGGCTGTTCCATCCCCTGCATTAATAACAGCTGGATATGCACAGCCCCTTCCTCCCATGGAATGACCAACCTGGAGCTCTGCAGGCTGGCTCTTTTTGTTCAGGTGTTGCTGTCAGAAGATTTTAAATGCAGCTCAGCCTTCAAGTGCAGAACATACCAGATGACAAACTATAATTTTGCATTCTTAGTAAAAGTAGATATTTTAAAATGAAATTATACTTACTTGTGTTCTTGTGAAATTGAGAGTGGTGTTACTGAAGAATTAATTCTGAAGAATTAATTCAGCTTCAGTGCATTGCTCCTTGTCCTTTGTACCTCTTGGTTAGTAAATCTGCAGCTTTACTTCTGTGTAACTCAGTATATTTGAGGACTCCCAAGATTTCAGTACATTGTGGAGAAGGGTAGCTGCCATCAGAAAGCTTTAACTTAAAAGGCTTCTAAGCATGTCTTGCTCCTGCATTTGTCCATGAGTATTTGTGTAAGATTGGTGCTGTTGCTGTGGCTTTTTCAGTCCTGTTGATGCTTATTTTTCCCATTTCTGCAGTTTACCTCATAAAAGTCAGGCTGCAGCTACCACCTGGAACTCGTTTTTATATCTTTTGCAGCAGCCTAAGTAATTCTAACATGCAAAAGTTCTGTTTGTACTTGCCAGCTTCCACTGGAAGTGAAATGTATTCACCTCTTCCCTTTTATCCCAGCTTCCTCATGGACACACATTTTTCCAAAATAAAGCATCTTACCACCCTTTGTATCACAAATACTTAGCTGCTATTTGAATTCCCTCCTATAGGGAAGGATAAAAGAAGAACCCTGATATCTACTCAGGGATATTTTAAAAATCAAAATGGATTAAGAAGTTCCCAATTTGTATTTAAACTATTGCTGATAGGAAAATACATCATAGTGAAGAAGTCAATCAATCAGAAAACAAAACCTCTCATTTTGTGTACCTGTGGTTATGTAGGAGCTAATGGTCACACTTAGGTGTTCTTTATCTGATGTGTTCATTAAAAAATAACATTTTGAAAGAAAGTAATCATTCCTGATGCTTCTGAAGACATTCAGCTTTACTTGCTGCCATTTAAAGCTATTATGTTAGTTCCCAGTTTAGAAAATGGTCTGAAAATAACTCAGAATTCCTGAAAATCACAGCTTAGAAAATGAAAGTCTGCATGAGTGGGATGTTCTAACTGGAACATTAAACCTCCCACATAAAATAAAATCCCAGTGTTATGTGGAAAGTGTGAATGGTTAAAAGCTATTTTTCCTTTTGTTGTTACTTTTCCTGAACAAGCCAGGTTTACTTAATACAGAAGACCAGAAAACAAAGCTGTAAAACATGACTGTGGAAATGGATTGAAATGTGACATGTAAATTATTGATTTAAATGTCACTTTATTTCCTTTCACTTCTCTCACAAAGATGTATTCTACCAACAAGGTAAATGTTGGGCTTCTCCTGAGAACTGAAAAACTTGTTAAAAATGAAAATTTATGAAGACAAGTTCTGTGCATAAGTACATAGACACATGCAGTTGTATCATCTGTGTGTTTATGTGGTTAATAACTACAGTCTCAAAATTGGTGATGATATTAAATAGAGAAATTGAATGGGTGCAGTTTGGGTGAGGTGGAATTGAACAAGTCAATTTGAGTCTTGATGTATAAAATGAAATGTAAATTTGTTAAAAGAATTTAGGTGATTAGATAATTGAAGTGTGAAGATATAACCCATTAGAGGTGTCATGCCAAATTAGCATTACCAGAATTTTAATGACCTCCCATTTGTATAATCCTTATTTACACTTGCATCTGATGTCTGTGGCTGACAAGAGGCCAGCTCTCCTGTGGGACCACAGGGTCATTTCAGATACACTGTGGTGCTAGAGAGGAATATTTGGCTGAAAAAGAAGCACCACTGGAAATCATTTTCATACAGGTGCTCAGATCTCACCTCTGGGCACTGATGTTGCTGATAGCACTGATGAGTGACCTGCCCTTGTATGGCTGGCATTGCTCAGCCCTGGAAAATGGAGCCATTATTCATTTAAAGGAAAACTTTAGGGGGAAATAAAATCTTCTTTCCACAGGAGATTCTCCACATTCCAGCCTTTGCTGGTCAGCTGTTGGTTCCATTGGTGTAAAGCCTTAGGGGGGATGAGGTAAGGATGGAACTGTGCAGCCCTGACACTGCTCTTGTCCCATAGAACAGAATTTTGGGCTGATGCCAAAGCATGAGAGATTCCTTCCTGCCCTTGCTGGCCTTGGCCTGGCTTGCAGCTGAGCTCTGACCCACCTGGGAAGTGATCTCTTCTGAGGGATGTGCTTTCCCACATAAAAATGGAGCAGTTCTCAGCTCTAGTCCAAAGCACCACTTCAGCTGGCAGTTCTTGTCTGTCTCATTGCAAGCATTACTTACCCATGCAATAGTGCTCTGGGGACAGGGGAGTCCTGGTGCTGTTTTACAGGTGATAGAGGAACCCATCTGACTTGGGACTGTCAGCATGGAAGCAGTCTGCTGCTTGTCAAGGTTCATCTTTATCCAAAGTTATATTAGGAATGACTGTGCAGTCACAAACCTTTATTTCTACTCTGGTTAATAAGATTATTTATCTTATATTTGAGCCTTAAGCTGAATGTCTTTAGGTCTCTGATAGCTGTTTTACAGGTTCACATTGCATCTTGGAGTCTGCTTGAGATTTCTTTCGTATGGGAATCAAAGCTACAGTTCCCAAGAGTCACTTCTGTCCATTTCTGAAATTCTTCCCTCTCTTCCTCACAATATGATGTGCTTTTTCTGGGTTAGGTGTCCCCAGACTGCCTTTCCTAATCTGATGGCATCTCAGTCATACTTCTCTGTGTGTTAAGTGGCTGCTGTTGAATCCTTGAACAGGCACACCTGTGCTGGCTAGATGGAAATTAAAAACTACACCTAAGCATTTTCCTTCCTTACTGCAGTGAGTTCTCAGTTTGTCTGGGTCCAGCTTTTCAGTCAGGTTTGATTTGTCTGGTCTTCATACCTCAGGAACTTCTGAGGGAATTGTCCCTGCATGTGAGGATGTGGAGAGCAGTTTTATGTGGAGAAACAGCCCAGTGGAGACCTCAGCAGAAACAAACGTGCAAACTCCAGAGTGTGTAAAGCACCATTGTCAGGGCCTGAATTTGAGACTCAGAATTACACTGTCTAGGCTAAGTAAGGCTTTTACTTGACTTCTCTAAAGGGAAAAAGCATGTCAGGCTTTACAGAGGGGGTGTTAGGCAGAATTGCTTATTTACCTCTTTGAAATTCAGGTTCCTTTTCCTAAATTTGGAAAATGCAGGTAACACAGTTGTGTTTCTCAGCCTGACAAGTCTAGTATCTAGAATAAGTTTTCTATTAATAACACTATAAATCCTTTAAAAAAGAATTCAGTAGAAAAGATGTAGTTGTTACATGATGTAAATAGCTTTTGTTGATTTATCATAAATGCATTGAATACTGATATTCAGCATTGAAGTTAAAACCCAGACCAGAATTTCTGTAATCAAATGCATGTGTGGTCTCCATTTCTCTCGGGATATAAAACTCTAGAAGTATTTAATTATACATTTACAAACGAGATTGCCTCTTTATATGAATGTGTTTTGATATACCTGTATATGCACAAGTCGTGTATGGAATCACAGAATCATCTTTAAGATTGGAAAAACCTCTAAAATCACCAAGTACAGCCTTTGAGTACTGCCATGCCCACTAAACCACAAAGCTACTCGTGTTTTGAATGCTTCAAGGATGGTGACTCCAGTGCTTCCCCAGGGAGCTCTTCCATTGTTTAACTGCTCTTTTCAGTGAAGAAATTTTTCCTAACATCCAACCTGAACCTCCTTTAGCACAGCTTGAACCTGCAGAGACCTTGCCACACTTAGGGCAATAAATGAGTAAAACTGTTTGTAATGCAGTATTTGGAATAAAGATTAACTTGTCACATCTATGAAAAAAGCTGATTATCCCTTCCAACAAAGTACTTCACCATCCAAGGAGAAGTATTGACTGTAGATACTTCTGGTGCACCCTGATCAGCTGGTCATGGAAACTCTCCTCATTCTCAGGAGAGGTTCTTCTATGTAAATAAAAAATTCCCAAAAAATCTAACAGGTTATGAGATATACTTGATTTCTACTAAAGTTCTTGGAAATTAATACTCACTGCACGAGATGCTGGTACACTTTCAAGTAGTTTGGCACAGCAGTATCCCTCAGAGGGTCTGTGCAATGGCCAGGGGCTGCAAAATCATGAGGAAGAAGCTTAAAAGGTGAGGGTGTAAGGTACAGAAAGGGCTCGATATAAATGCTGTATATTTGTGTTTTTCTGGTTCTTAGCTATGATTGTAAAGCAGTAGTAAGTAGGGTTAATTAATGAGAGGTAACATTATATCAACATATTCTGTAATTTCAGTAAGCCAAAGTAAGTGTTTATGTAATGTTACTGAACTCTTTCCCTTAACTACCCTAGTTATCTTTTTTCTTTAATTTGAATTTTGAAAGAAGATTCCAAGATTTCACATAAATGAGCATAACTACATTCAAAATACTGGGAAGCTTTGCAAAGTCCAAAGCTTCTTGTGCTTCCTGAGTAAAATACCAGCAGGCATTTTCATTGTGAGCACAGTGGAGTGAGAGGGGAAATACTGGACCTGAGCTGCTGGGTTTTCCTGACAATCTGGGACGGTGTCTATTGTAAATCACATCCACTTGGCTTCACTAAGATTCAACAAATGGGGAGCAGAAATTATTAATTTTTTTTTCAGGAAAGGTGAAGTCCATAATACTTGTTTATATTCTATCTCTGTTTTTTCAATTAAACTTCAGTGAATCTGAAGTAGCTTGATTTGGTCTAAATCCACACAGCTGAGGAAACCTGGGCTTGCTTTTTCTCTGAATTTTCACTGAGGGGCTTTTATCTCCCCCTAATCCCACCATTTCTGTCAGGACATAATCTCTTTCTCAAATTTACATTTTAATTACAAGGCCAGCTGAACTAGCTAAAATCAATAATGTCAGCATTCAGCAGCCTAACTTCAGCTGAAACCCCAGCCTCTCTCTTTCCTGCTATAGATTTATCTTGTGGACATGGGCTACTTTATTGCTTCAGGCAATAGGTGCCATTTGGTCAATTTAAACAAAAAGGGCGATTTAAACACTTTTATGATTCTTTCTCAAAGCTGCTATTGGCACAATTTGAACTCAGTACTGTACTTGTTAAACAAACCGCACAGAACAGCAGAATTCTGGAGAGGAATTTTACTTTAAAAACTGTACTTAATCCATCTATGTTTTAAAACCAAAACAAAGCAACCCCACCCTGACATTGGACACCATTCAGCTGGGGCTGTCTGCCTGGTCACTCTTGGCTTTATCTTGTTAGCAAAACCTACTTTCATACAGAAATACTTTTTAAAAACTCCACAGTGGAGGTGATGTTACTGATGTCTTAGTGTTATCTATTTTTAGCTATTTTTCTGTTAATAGTTTAAAATAAGAAATCAATGAGAAAATATTTTGCTCTTGTAACTCTTAAGAATTCCTATATTGATCTTCCAGATGTGATTTTTATCTGTCTAAATGTCACATTGTCCATTTATCTCTTGCCTTTCCTGTCTGATGCTGACTGCTTGTCTCTGCTCTTCCCCTCCTCCTCAACCAAACCAGTGTTGTGAGCAAGCAATCATGCTTGCTGTAAATACCATAGGAACAGAAATGGAAAAAATAGGGTTTCTGAGAACTTTTAATACATAGCAAGTATTTTCTCTGAAGATGAGAGGTGTGGTGAGTGAAACAAAGCTGCTATCTTCTGACTTTTTTTATTATTATTCGTAAATAGTACAAGTGCTCTCAAACCACTTACTTTAAATAATGCTTTTCAGAAAGTTTCCGTTTAAAAAAAAGGAAAAAGAAGGCAGTTTAAGTGCTAAACACAGTCAGAGCAATTCTGCATTACAGATAGTTTATGACATATTCTTAACCAGGTTAACTGAGAAGGGCCAAAGGCCCTGTTTGTGACTGTTTCTGTCATTAAAGGAAGTTTACTTCTCCAAATACTGATGATTCTAAAGTGTGGTTATAGCAATGGTTTTGGTTAATTCTGTTTCACTTTGATAAAAGCACTTGAGAATGGCATTTTCCCTTTCTAGCCTGTGACCTGAACTGAGATGGAGCCCTGCCCTGCCCCTTTTCCAGAGACATAAATTCAAAATTCCTGCATTATTATTTCACTGAAGTGCTGTTTAAAATCACATTTTTGTGGAGGCACCATTCTCCCTCTTGAACAAGTCCACAGCTTAATAAGTGTAATGAAATAATTTCTTCTGCTAATTAACCTAGATATCTGCTTAAATCCATTCCTGTTATATTTAATTATAATTTTCTTTATTCCTGGTCCTTCTGCAGATAGTTTTCTAGTTAGAGATTGGAACTTTAAATGTTTGCTGTCTGTGCACTCACACCCCAAGGCTGAAAGGGAATGAGTGGTGCAAACCAGTCAAGGTCAGGATGAATTACTGGGAGACCTTATAAGGTGGTGAGATGGGTCACAGCAAATTGTTCTAATTTTGTTCATGGAAAACACATTATTCTCTCAAATAAAAATATTTTGTGTACCAAGCCTCCCTGCCACTGTGGGTCTTGCAATTTCCTACTCAGATGGCTGGCCACAGGTAAAACATTAGCTTTTTCTTTTCTACTTAATATATTTACTGATGCATTTAATGTATGATATGTTAAATGGCTAGCATTTAATGACCAGCAAAGCAAGAACACTTCTGAATGCAGCTTCAGGGCTGGTTAGAATTGGGCAAAAGATTAAAAGTTACAATTAAGTAATGGCCAAAACATTTTAGATAAATGTTAGTTACTTTTCATAAGAAGGCTCAGATAATTTGCTGAAAGTGTTAGGTTTGTGAAACTATGACTTCTTGTATAAAATTTAGGGATTTTCTTGAGGGATGAGACCTTGCATTTCAATAAATTATTTCATAAAAGGGCTTTCTGAGGGGACAGATCATGTTGGTGTGAGGAATCATATTTTTCCAATTGCAGCTGTCATTGGCTGAAAAGTTCTTGTAGCTACTACTGTCTAATAGAGTTGCTCCTCCAGCTCAGCAAGTAGAGGCAGGTGCTGTCTAACAGCTCAGCCTATCTTGATGCAAGATCAAGAATTGCATCCTTGCAGTCCATGCTGGGTCTCTAATCTGGCTGTATAAAGTAATTAAAGTTACCCCACCACTGAGCTGTGGGTGCTGAGCATCAGTGCCCGGTACTGCCCTGCAGAGGGCTTGTTCCTCAGGTGTAGCTTAGGCATTTCCTGTCTCTGCGACAGACTCTGGCTGTACTTCCTTCTTTTGCCAGCACTTAGATATTTCCTTCTGGCAGATTGTGTGGTTCAGTATCTGTGGAAGACAAATGTGCTCTAAAAAATTCTGTTTCACTCTGAGTGGGATTGATGTGTAACACAAACTGAGAGCAGGAAGATGTGGTCAGCACCCTGAGCTGGTTGGGTGTAGCAGATAGGGCCTGGCGTTCGGAAGATCTCGTGATGTTACGGGAAGACAGGGCCCCTGTCCCCTTAGATAAGAAAATTAACATAGGAATGTAGCCCCCTGAACCGGATTCCGGTAACTTTCCACTTGCCCAGGTAACTTTCCATCCCTACTAACCATAGATGGTAAAGACAGACCCCCACCTGACGTAGAAGCCCCCTAGACTATAAAACCCCACGGGAAGAGAGAATAAAGGCCTTTGATCCTCCACCATATTGGTGTCCGCGTGTTTCTTAGGCCCGAGCGACCCTGGGGAAGGGGGTCGCTGTGCTGTTTCCTGAAACCAGGCCGCCTGCCTTGTATCAGAAGGCAACAGTTGGGTGGACTGTGAGGGTGGGAGAAGTGAATCACTCCTAAACATCATGGTTTTTTTGCAGGACTTGAGCCCCAGTCCCCTCCAAGAGCCCCAGTGGTGAAGGCACCAGCAGGAGCAGCTCCGCTGAGCTCCCACACTCGGCTCAAAGGGAACGAGGATGAGCTCGACCCAACCTGCGCGGCTGCCACCCTGAAACTCCTCAGGGACAAACTGCCAAAGCTGCCATCTCCTCGTGCCAGGTCATCTTTGCTTCCATTCCTGTGCAAACCTCTTGCTCTTGTGTTCATTAGCCACGACAGCACGCAGAAAAGCATTCGTGAACCAGGCAGGCTGACAAGGCTGACCTGATCTCGTTTTGAAGTCATGTTCATTGCTTAGTGTTTGGGATTTTGTTGGTGATTGTACCAGGATCTTAAGGAATCTTATTTGGTGTAAATGGCCTTTATGAAAATTCACTGTCCCTTTCTTTGCTACCAACACCTCCCACCCCATTTATTTGGATAAATTTTGTTTGCAGCTGTACAGAGTGTGTCCTAATGTTCAGTTAGCAAATAGTTTCAACATCTCTTTGTTCCCAGTGACTTGTGGTGTCAGTGCTGCCTGGAGATGTTACATTGCTTCCAAAGACATATTTTATCAATCCTGTTCAAAGTTTGGTGAAACTCCAGCCTTGCCTAGCATTTGGCTGTGATTTGAGTATGAGGCTGGAGTCATGTCCCCAAAATCTAGCAAACTGGAATTGATCAGAGATTTCCAGTTCCACATCTGTGGCTCCTGTGGGAGTGCAATATCCATGATCCACTGTGCCCCCATCAGATCTCTGGGTTTCTGCCCCACAGTGTGATGATATGTGTTAACCAGCCCTAGCTGAACATGCACTGAGCTACAGAATGTGTGGTGTTGTGTCATAATGTCTTCCTTTACAAAAAAAAAGGGACAACATTGAAAAGTAGTTGTAATTGTACATGTAAGGTAGTACTAGTGTTGGTCTAAAAAAATCTAATGAAAACAGAAAAAGAGAAAAAGTTGTTGTGGTCATTGGTGTTCTGTATTGACTTCTCATCAATTTTCTCCAGTGAATCTGCAACTTCTGAGACAGCAAACTTGGAAGATCCTGACAGTAAAAGAAGGAAACTAGAAGAAAGAGCTAAAGCTCCCCTCATGCCTTTTGGACTAGATCTTCACTATTGGGGAGAGGATCAGCCAGGTGCTGGGAAGATTCTCAAGTAATGCTCTTTTTCTTTTAAGACAAGTTAAACAAATAGATAGATTTATTTGTATTCAGAGGTCATGCAGTGGGGTGACTGCTATTTCTTTTGATAATTACTTTTCTTCTTTACCTTGTGTTGTAGGACCTATAAACAAAGTCAGAAATTCTACCTTTAAATGTTATTTGTTTTGAGAAGATGTGATACTAATTAAATATCCTTTGATGCTTCAAAGCACTTTTTTTTCTGCTCTTTTTATGTTTGCAGCATGGCATCAGTTACTCCAATTTAAGCTGGTTCCTCTTTATGCAAAGGGCTCTGCCACGTGTGTGATAGACATTCCCTGAGCTGGAGACTTTAGGATCTAAATAAGTAGCAGGCAAGGTAGGAGAAAGGCTGGGGAAGTGTTTTTGTTGGTAACTGAGGAAACTGCTAGGCTTACTCAGTCTCACAAGAGAAAGGTGGCACTTACAGGATTTGGATCTGGATCTTTCACTTTCCATTGCTGTCTGGCAGGTTTTGGGTTTCATGAAGCACTGCTGATTCAGGGAAAGCTTTAGCACTGCTGAGGAGAAGAGGTGGTAGGTACACATCAGAATTTATTTCTAGCAGTCAGTTTTTAAAACCCTTTTTACTGTTTTTAAATGAAAGTTGGGTTGCAAAGTCCTCCCTCTATGTATAAATTTCATTTAAGTCCACCAGAACTTTGGTATCAGTGTGTACCATACCTGGCTTGAAAAGGGCAAAAATAACTGACTGGCTGGGTTGCAAATTAAGCTGTTATATTCTTAGCACTATTACTTTAATTTAGTTTGTTTTCATACCAAAACAAACAAAAAACCTCAGCCTGTAATCACAGTGCTAAAACAATGTTGGCAGAAAGGAACAAGAAGAAATCTTTGCCCCTGCACCTGATTTTAAAAAATGCTCAATATCTGTTAAATTACTGAAAACTGGTACAATTTGATGCATAAAAGGTCTTTACCACAGTCACTGCAGGCTTTGGATTCTATCTCCTGTGGTATAGGTTCTTCAGAGCCTATGAAGAGATTTTCAGCAGGGCTTTAAGAAGCATTTGTCTGTGATAATGCCAAAAAGGTAGTAAGGCCTTATTTTACATTGCAAATGAGTTATTCAAGTCATAAGTGAAATCAGAAGCATATTTCACTGCCTGTCTGCCTCGTGCTGCACTGTTTTATTTTTATGCTTCCCAATAAAATAGAGGGCACACTTCTGAACCATACAGTCTATAACTACAGATGTGCCAGTCTAACTAAAGATAATTTAAGTAACTGCACACACAATACCATTGACCCCAGGCATAAAATAGACTTACTGAAAAATTAAAGTAGTTATCAGTCAACTCCTTCAGCATTTCTCTATGCACTCAAACTGGCTCTGTAAGATTCTTAGGGGAAGAAAGCAAACTGAAAAATAGACAACGTGTGGGATGTGTATGGAATTGGAATTTTTAAAATCTGAAGGGGAAGAGTGTTTCCATTTTATTTAGCAGTGCATTTACTTAATCACAGCATTTACAATAAATTAAGATTTTAACAGTGAGAATGTAGCCACCGGGAATATTTTCTAAAGAAGTTATGTTGGGTTTTTTCAGGGGGGACAGAAGGTAGTGTTGGAATTGTGTAGAATCTGCTATGTCAGCTTAACAGACTTGTTTTGGATAGCATGGACCTTCCAGGCTCCTCCCTGAATTAAATCTGCTCACTCTGAGGAGCAGAGGGAAATAGCTGGTGCAGCACTGGCTGTGACTAGCGTGTTTGAATTAGCCCATTTTTGCATTTGCTTCAGGATCTCTGTAAGCATCTGGGGTTAGAATTTATATTTATACAATGCTTTTATAAGCTTCCTCTCAGATTAGAAATTAAGATGATATAAATTCATTTAAAGAGTGCAGCAGTTCTCCAGGAGGTTTCTCTTAGATTTCAGTTAACCACTACTTGTCTTTTATTCCTCCTCCTCATTGCCATTAGAGCCTCTGTTATTTGTCTGGATTAGAAACACTCTAAATGTGAGGTGTTGATCTTTTTCATCTTTTAGTTGATTATCTGTTCCTTTTCTGATCCATCTTACAAGCAGGTTTTACTTGTCACATGCATCATTGTTTCAAACAAGCATCTGCCTGTTTATAATGTTGCTTAACCTACAACAAGAAATCAGAAAACTTTGGGAGCTGCCACTGCTTTGTTCTCTCACCTGCTTCTAAGTCATGTTGGGAGAAAATATGCTTGTAATGAACAGTAATATGTGTTCATATATTTGTAGGAATCAGGCTATTTTAAATTCAGTTCCTAAGTACTGGTCAATGATACATAGGGCAAAACATAATTTTAATATTCTTGACATTTGTTGAGTGCATATTTAGGGGAAGGGAAACAGAGAAATTATTAAAAATAATTATTTCCTAACTGGAAGGGTTGACATGCACAACTGTTACATGGTTCTTCATTCTCATGTGACTGTAATTTGATGATTGAGAGGGTGAGGGGAGTTCAGACCACCAAAGGACACTAGAGTTTTACTCAGACATTCTGTAAGATGGTCATGCATGTGCAAATCCTGTATGGTGCCTGTTTTAGGAGCGCTTTCCCCTCCGTGTGGCTGCAGGTTAGTGACACAGAGCTGCCAGTCAGTTTTGCTTTCAGCATTGCATTAACATAAGCAAATAAGAAATTGATGTCATTATTTTATTTACTCTCTATTGGATAAGAGAGTAACATAATTTGCCACATAATTTCTGGAGTCAAAATACTGTACTGCTCAAATATTGGGCTGAAATAGTATTTATATTTTAGAAATACTCTCAGGGTTTTTGGGGTTTTTTGCTACCTTTTGCAGAAGTGTGTAATTTAAAATATTTTGTTTAACCAAAAACTCTGGAAATACATTACTGTGTTTATTGTTGAACTAGCTTCCACTGGAACTCCTTTGCCTTTATCCCCTGATTTACCAGAAGAAATTATTTGTACTTGATGGCAGGTTAGCATTTCTCTGGCACTAGTGAGGTGTATCTGATGGAGGAATTACAGATAGAATCAATCTGTTTAACAAGAATTTGGCTGAACATTTTTGTGATGATGGCAAATCACAGAGATGTTTCAAATTTTCCTTAATCCCTTTTTTACCTAGTTCTAACCTCTTCACAAGGTTTAAATGCCCAACTATTGCATTGAAACCAGCACATAGATATGTCATAGGTTGCTGTGGTCAGATATTTTCCTCTACTTATTTTTTCTTTGTCATCTGCTGAAAACTTGTTCAGATAAAATTAATCAAACCTTTTCAGGCCCTCTAAAGTAATTCTTTCAAGTATTGGTTTATGTGCTTTGCCAAACTGTGACTGGTGTGATGAGTGAAGCCAGTGTTCGTGTGTGGCTCTGCCGTGCACAGAAAGCAAAGCAGGAATGGCACCCAAGGATTTTAGTGAGGGAGAGGAATTGGGTATGGACAGAGAAAATCCTCTCAACCAACTCTGGAACTGACTGGGTCGAAGAGCTATGTGGAAGAAAGGGACTGTAGGGTTCCTTTAGGAATTTTGTGTCCTTATCAAGACATCTGTTATCTAGGTATCTTCATCTTGCTTGTCATGAGCAGCAGACATGCAGGCTGCAATTTTTTTTCCCTTAGTTGAGCTGTATTTTTTTCCTCTTTAACTTCATATTTCCTTAAATTTGGGGTGGGATTATTGTTTTTAAGTTCAGATATCATGAAATCAGATACCTAAGCTTAAGCTGTTACCCTAATTTCATTTCATTTCATGATTAAGAGAAAGAAACATTTACCATCAGAGGAACAATCATTGTCTCCTAAGATTAATATTTAAAATGAGTCAGGTAATTGCTCTCTGGGGTTGCCTGTTTTTCATTACAGACTGTTGGCTGAAATAATGTGAATATTAATATGAAATTATATTAATGGTGTTGAGAAAATCTTCGTTTGCCTGTCTGTCTGTAAATGTTGGTAAGGTCTCTAATTTTAAAACAGCTTTTCAATGGGTTAGCTTAATTTCCTAGAGGAACACCTGCTAATTTCTCAGATTTATGGACACTGTGTAGGAGAATCTGGAATAAGGAATCTGTGTGGAGGCTCAGCTGATCATTTTCTCTTTCCCATGGACTCAGTTTAGTGCAAAATCCTCTGATTCCAGCTTCTGCTTCTCTGCTGCTGCAGGAGTCCAGCTATCAGGAATGAGATCAGCCACGTTAAGATCAAACTGTTTCCTCCTTGATCTGTGCTTAATCATAGAAGTATTTTGTTATGAACAATGTTAAGCACAGAATTACAAAGTTATTCACTGAATCTAGAAATTGGATAACTGACTCTGAATGTCAGATGATGAACTAAAGCTAAGACTTGTAATAGCTTAGCAGGTTAAACAGGAAATCAATACTAGACAGGCTTTGGTGTATTTTAAAAATATCTTCATAATACAGGAGCCATAAGAAAGACTGGTAGATTCCTAGGGGTTTTTAATTCACTAGTAATTCCCTTCCTTTCACATGGGAGTTTAGCACAGGTTGAGAATGTGTTTTAATGTGTGATGATTTTGTATGTGAATAATTTTCATTTGTTGTTTTCGCAGATTTACCTCTGAGCATCGATTTTGGGCACCCAGTGAGGTAGAGGAAGAGGTGGAAAATAAAGAAATAACAGAAATGTTAAAAACCAGGTATATAACATTTGCTGGCAAGTTTGAGCCAGTGAAACATAAATGTCGAGCTCCCATGCCTGATGGAAGTCTGTGTGAAAGACAGGATCGGATCAAGGTAGGCACCGAGTTACAGCACTTGCAAGATCTGTGCTCTGTGGAAAAGGTCTCCTTAAAACAGCCATAAAAATTCATTTCACATTCTAAGTATAGCTCAAGGGAGTGGAAGAACATTTTGTTGGAGAAGTTCATTGTTAATTTGTGCTTTGTAAGGGAAACATCCTTTTGGTAAAGAAGCTGTAAACATTTAAAGAAAGAACTGTCAAAATTTTTTGGCGTTCATTGTAGGTTATCTGGATTTTATTTATTACTGAGATGTGTGAATACCTGGCAGTAAGGCAGAGATAGTTCTTTGCTGAAATTTTTTCCTCAGAGGCATATTTGATATTAACTGTTTCTAGAGACTTACATGTTTCAGGGGCAAAGAAATTTTATTTACAAATTAACTTTTATGAAAGCTAAACTCTACACAGCCTCAAATTATGAGCGCTATTGAGCAGAAGTACTTTGCCTAAATACTTGGTTCTAGTATCTCTGTTCTTCCATTATTATCTGAGATTGAAGGATCTAAAACTTCAGTACTTTTAAAGGGATTGTTACAGGATGGGGATATAGCATAAGCAACAATGTACGATGCAGCATTGTCTGTTTGTTTCAAAAAGAGACATTTGACATTCTGAATATATTAAACACATGATGCTTATGGGATTCTAATGCTTTCTAAAGAGGACTGGGAGTCAAATATAGTTTTGTTGCTCAATTCCAGTTTCCACCTTTAAGCTGTTTTGAATAAAAGATAAACATTTTCTTTTCATTCAGAAACTGTGAATTTTTTTTCTTTCCCCCCCTTTCTTTCTCAAGTGCCCTTTCCATGGAAAGATAATTCCTCGGGATGACTCTGGGGTTCCTGTAAATGCAGAGGACAGAGCCAGAGAAGAAAAGATGAAGTTTGAGAAGCAAGCAGCCCAGCCAGGTCTGTGTCTGCATAGCATCTTGAAAAATAAGAATAAAAATAAAATACTAGGCAGAGATGGGAAATACCTGTTACCTGTTTTGCTCCTAAGCACATTCTCCCATTTGCATTTGCATTCCTATTGATTTTAAATTACAGCTCATTTGCAGTGGTTCTTGCTTATGTGATAAATATGGACATGTGTAGACAGAATAACGTTAACATTGCATCTGTGCTTTATTTCCAGTGGCTTTTGAAATGTTCCCAACACTGCTCAGACAGACCAGTAATAGCCTTTGTCTTAAGGAACATTTTTATGGATGGCTGGACCTGTTCCTTGGGAAGTGCTTGGCAGTAACTGGTCTATGCTTTTGCAAAGATGTCTGATCTTGCTGGTCCCTGGCAGTTGTGATTTATGCAATATAATGATAATATTATTAGGATCACTGTGTTACCACCAGTTTTGGGAGGGTGTGCTGGATTTTTGTTTTTAAATTATTGGGCAACAAAACTATTTTGTCCTTCTTGCATCCTTCAGGTGTAGAGGGGAGGGCTCCTTCTTTCCCAAGATAATTTGGGCATTTTTAGCCAAGGTTCAGCTCTGCACTGGTAGGTGAGAAATGCAGGCAGTAAGTACCCAGGCAGGAAGAAACACTTCCAAGGGGGATAAAAGGCTTTCTTGCAACAGTAGAACTAAACCCTGTTAGTGACGGACAGGTGGACTACAAGCAGGAAGCTGCTGGCAGCTGATGGCCTGCAGAGGAAGATGGGAGAGAGGGATCTACCCAGCAAAGACACAGTGCATAATTGGAGGGGACAGCTTTTCTCTAAGCTAGCTTCCCTCAGCAGGTCTTAGTTTTCTCTGGTTTGAGCTATTTATTGTCGGTGAGTATTCTGGATTTTAATTAAACTTACGCATAGGCATCAGCATTTTGATATCCTGTACTGTACTCCCTTGCAGGAGTTCTCTCTTCAGGTTTGACTGACTTGGAGTTTGACTGTTATGCATATTATTAATAACGCTACTGAACTTTTAATGAAACCTCTTGAGAGCCTGAGGAGCAGTTACCTGTATTCAGAACAGGAATCTGTATTCAGAAAGGTCTGTGTGGAATGAATGTGCATTTAAACATAGAATTGACCCACCCAGTGTCCTTTAGTGCTTGTGTGACCATCTCTGAGTGGCAGTGCTTGGTGATTACAGCAGCACAGCAGTGCAGCAATTACTGAGCACCTTCTGGTATTTGCAGCTACATTTGCAGGAGTTTCCATCCCTGTCCAGGCACAGAAGTGCTCTAAACTGGAATCCAGCAGCACACACACTGTTGGACTGTCACAGGGAAACCAGGATGGGAGCGTGGATGTTGTGTTAAAAAGGAAAGTTCCCAGCTTAGTTACGACAAACTCAAACTAGCAAATTAAACTGCCACGTGTTGTTGAAATCTCAAACTGGAAACTAATATTCTGGTATAAAAATCACTTGGACTCAAAAATATTGATTTTTTTTTTCCTGTGAAATTGCCACTGCTTGAGGCTAGACATAGTATTTATTTTTATTACAGTGTCAGCTCGGTGTTGTTAGTGGCTTCTCACCTCTGGTCCACAAGGATGTGTCTGTTAGTCCCAGACCAGTGTTGGCATTGCTCCTTGTGTTACTGAGTGTGGTTGTTAAGCTGAAATGTCACACAAAGGTCCATCCCATCTGGCTGGGGACATGCTGCACAAGCTGTGGCACTCAGTTTGGACAAAATCCTCCATGTTTTTATAGCCATACATATACCAGATGTCACTAAATACTTCTATCCACTTCATTTTTTGTTCTGCCTTGCTGTTTTTATATCTGCTTCAGAGTATTTTCATCAACATTTTAATTTCTTTTTTGCTTGTTTTGAGGCTTGTGGTTTGGAGGGGTGTGTTTGGTTAGTTTTCAGTGGTATTTGGTTTGGGTTTTTTTTATTACAAAGGTCTTGAAGGAATTCTGAGCAGTGCTGCTATGGGAAATACACAACTGGGAACCTACTGGGCAGTCATGAGCTGTTTGATTGACAACATCATTAATGATGGCAGTTTGAAAAATCTGGGAAAAACCACTTTAATTTTGGGATCAATTGTATGGTTAAATTACACCAAAATTCTTCTTGCATCTCCTTCCCACTGGATGGCAGATTTATGATTAAAGGGGGAAACAGTTATATAAAAGTCATATGTTTTGTGTACTAATGACTGTGTTTTGACAACACTGTCATTGTTATTATGGAGTATTTATTATCTTAGTGCAAAATTTTAAACTCTGGCTAATGTCCACAGAGAGGTGCTTTGGGCTCTTCAGTGCTGGAGCCGTGAATCACTTGGGATTAGCCTGACCCGCTAATCTGCAGCGTTCATCCTTTTCCCACAGTTCACACACTGGAGCAAATTAAGTGCCTATTTTTTGTGTCAGCCCTGAAGAGTATCTGGTTTTTCAGCCCTTAGTGACTTGTTAACAAACAGGTATCAGGACAGGCTGGTGAAGGCAGGCCGCTGGCCACTCAGATGTGAAATAGCATCTCTTTACTAACTGCAGTATCGATTCCCGCCTACCCTTGCAAACTGTGTCATTTTCTTTTCCCTGCTGCTAAACTCAGTAACAATGTATGAAGAGCTTTAGGGGCCCATCAATGCTCAAAAAGCCTGCTCTTCCCTGGCATTCTATTGATTTTTCTCAAAAGCTTTTAAATTGCTCCTTCATTTTACTCAAATGCTCATTTCATCTCTACTGGATGCCGGCATTTTTTCCTTGTGTTTAAACAATTGCTCCATTCACGGGGTTCCTAAACTGTGACGCCTTCTTATTACTGGGAGATAAACTGTTTAGACAGTTTTCCTTAATCTTGGATTAATCGTTCCTGTATCTGAATTGTGCTCTTCTGTATTCCCTCACTTCAAAAAAAAAAAAAATTCTGTGAGGTCTTATGATCTATCAAGTGTATGTGTTCTATTTTCTCCCTTTGTGGCTCTCCTGTGCAGCTCTTGAACAGCTTGGTTTTCCTGGTGCTTTTTGGTGTGTTGGATTTTAATCAGGCCTTGCTTTCATGTATGATGGTAGTTTAGATCTAACCTTTCCTTGGAAAATTGCTCTGCTGTTCCTTAACACCGTGTTCTTAAGTGAGGACATTGCCTCTGACCTTCCTGAAATGTTGTTAGCAGCGTTTGTCACACTCAGTGACCATCTTGGTGTACAAATGAACTTGTAGAGTCCTTTAGGACTGTTTATTTCTCTATATTTACAAAGTTGTTGTGTAAGAGGAGTCGACATTTGGTGTTACAATTTCTGCAGGCAAGAAGGGCTGACTGACATAAGGGAAACTATGACAAATGACTGGCAATTACTGTTGTTAAAATGCAGGCTTCTGGCATTTCTGCTGAGTGTGGACTATGTTCTTTTTGAAGTAGTACTTCCTACAATGTTTTTCAACCTAAATGCTCAAAGTCTTTACAATGAAATGAAATTTTTCTAAATTTCCCCTTGGCAGATGTCCATCCTCCAGCCACATTTTTATTTTGTACTACTTTGTTTAATACACAAGACTACACTGAAGGTGAAAAACTGCAGCTTCATTAAACAGTCCACAGTAAATTGTTCATGCTTTTCCCTCTGGTGGCATGTAGGATCAGAATCCACTTACAGTGTGTGGCTGGATTCTGAAGCATTAAGTTTTTGAAAATATTTAAAACAAGATTTTGTTTAGATAAATTAACTTGTGCCATTGTCAAGGGAAGAAACTTGATTTAGATAATTAGTCTGAGGCAATATGGGATACTTAGAAAGTGGTATCTTTTTCAGATGCAAAATGGGTGTCATGGTAACAGGGTCATGTTGTCCTACTCAAAAATTTTGTGGAGATGTCTGTTACCAGTTCTTGTTTTAAAGTAAATATTATTGATGAAAAGAAATCACAATGTTGCCAGCCCTACTCTGCTAAAAAGTTGATATATTCAATTTTTTTAGGTTTATTTTTAAGCTTATGCCGAATTTATTTCTGCAGATAAATTCCTCAGCTACATTGTTGGCATTTTCATTTCTAAATAATAATCACTGTGCTTATTCACCTCTCCTGCATGGAATAGTTTCCTTGGGACTTTGCTACTGTGCCACTGAAAAACCTCAATTTAGTTCTTCCTACAGGACAGTTTTGTCCATAGCAGCTGCTAATACAGACTGGCAGGGCTTCTTCACCCAGATGTGTCATTTTGGGAAACTGCTTTATCCTCCCTTCATTTGTGTGTGCAGATCACAGTGGCCACTGCTGACAGGAGCCTCTTCCTTAGGGGCTGCAAATCCCCCCTGGGCTGGGCTTTCAGAGTTCATCTTCTGTCTTTCAAACAGAGTGGAGAGATCCAGAGTTCATGAGAGAAGTTGAAGCTGCTACAGGACTGGATCTTGGTTCCTCTAAAAGTAACGGAAAAGGACAGAAAAAGAAAGGGAAGAAGCAAAAATATCCAAATCTGACAGACCTGAAGCAGCAGGCTAACACGTCTCGTTCCCGGCTTGAGAAGAAAGTCTTCAATAAGTAAGAAACTTCCATTATTTAAAGCCTGTTAATTCCTATTTCTGTTTGATTCAGCAGTACTTTCTGTTTCTGTATTAACATGCACTTACTAAATAGCTTCTTTGGCTAACTGCAAGCAAGAATATCTTCCATATGTCTGGAGGGTAAAAAATAGCAGGTACTAACAAACAAGGTTATTTCTTCAAGAGTGATTTTTAACTAATGTGCAAAATTTCCCTATGAAAGGCTTTTTTCATCCTGTCTCAATTTCTTAAAAACTTCAATTGCTGGATTGGCTTCTCTGGATGATCATTTATTAGTCAGGCACAGCATCTCAGGTGGCTGGGGGAGCCTGCCAGCCACTCCCAAATGTGCTTTAAAACATACAGTAGCTCCATCTGTCCATTATTAACACCATTTTTGATGCCTGTTCTCGCTTAGATGTAGCTACAACATGAATTTGCCTGAGCATGCTCTGGTCTTCATCAAATGGGAAGCAGCTGCAGCTTTTTAAAGAGTTTCACATGTCAGAAATAAAGTAGTCTAAAGGAAAGTAAAGTTGTCAAGTCAAAAAAGAAAAATCATTATTATAAAATCATTAATGGTGGGTTATTCTCTAAGCATACTAGATGAGTTGAACAGCATCCAGGACACAATATTTGTTTAAACTGAATTTTCCCTTCTCTCATGTACTGATTATAATAACAAAGCCAAAGCCACATTATTTTTGGTTATGGAAATAGCACATTTTATGTGAATTTCTTAAGTTACCTGGTCTTAGTTAGAAGTCAGAGACATACAGTTCTAGTGATTAGAATTTCATATCATGGTTTACTGTGGTTTGTGCTAATGATTTTGGGTGTGTGTTAGTGCCAGGCATAGGGAATCAAACCTGTCAAGTTTTTAATAGGTTTCATGCTTTGCAGCACTAAACAAGATGATAACCTTGGCTCCTTATAACAACCCCAAATTACTTGAAATGTATAGGTGATAAACCCAGGCTCTAGTCTGCCAATAAAGCTAAGTGAAATTGCACACAGATCATCAAAGTGGGATCTCATTTCATTTACAGTATCACACAATCCACTGGTGCTAATGTAAAACCTACATGAACGAAAGTGGCAAGGCCGCTCTGCACTGCTAAAGGCTCACTTTTCTCCTACCAATTAGGTAATATTTGAAGTGCAAAACCATGACCACATTTTCCTTACTCTGGTAACTTTATTGGCAGACCTTTGTTAAAAGTATACCTCTTCCAGAGTGTTTTTTCAGAATGTTGGTTTTCATTGCACTTGCTGCTGAGAAAATCTTTAATCCCACCATTTAGAGTGTTATTAAGGAGAAACCTCTTTCAGATGTTTCAAAATGGCTTTGGAAATGAAGCCATTACAGAGAGCAGTTCCCAAACCAGAAGTCAGCCTGTTTATTGGAGATAACCCTGGAAGCAGAGCTGGGATAGTGTGTAAGGGCTGATCCTGAGGAACACTGCCCATGTCTTAGCTTCATTTTCCTGCACAGCTGGGAGCGTCCTCAGAAGTGATAAATGCAGACTGTGATAATGTAGAGTCTTAAGAGCACAGGCCTTGACACCATCTGCTTGTGTGATGGAACTTGCCAAATTTGTAGAAATCAAAGGAGACATCAGTCAGTGCCCTGCTTTTGGATGGCACAGCCCCTCAAACCGAGCCTGCAGCTGCTCCACCTCACCCATCAGCCAGGTGTGTACCTGGAGATGTGTTGGGGACATCAGCCTTCATAGGCAGGGGGACAGCTGAGAACACCTGCAGACATCAGCCTCACATGGCTGAGCTTCTGTTCCAGAGCCATCTGAAGTAACCACTAAAATTGAACTTCAGAGGAACAAAATTCCTGAGGCAAGGCACTCTCAGCTCTGCACAGCAGCTCCTTTAAGTTTCTGATGGGCAGATGTTCACAGCAGAACATTTTCCTGACTGCTCCTGCTGCTTCTTCTGGATTTGTGAGCCCATTCCTCTGCCTGACCAGCTGGAGGATGTAGGGGCTGCTCTCTCTCCTACAATATATACAATTTATACAATCTCCTACTCCTGTCCATGCTGTTCATCATTTCCCACACCCTCAAAATCCTAGCTGTGTAATCTTCACTCAAAAGTTTGTGGAGGGGAAAAAAGAGGAGGTGTCTGAATGGCCCAGCTCAGAAGCATTGCAGCCCCTCCCTAGAGGAATCTCTGGGCACATCTTTTCTGGGAGGAAGCAATGGAGCAGCACCAGGGAGACAGACAGGCCCTCACTGGATCTGGGAGCACCACAAAGCTTAACAGCTCTGAAGTTCATTCCCTCACTTCCTTTTTGAACCTGAAGAATATTCCAGGGCCTTCTTCAGGCACAGCAGGAGATGCAGAGGGCTCTTGCCCGTCCCAAGGCAGCACAAATCCCATTTGTGCATGATTTATGAGTGAGGTGTTGGCCATACTGTCCTGCCTGCGCTAAATTCTTCTGCAGCAGAAGCCTGTCCTGGAGAGATAGACAATAATCTCTGTGTCTTCCTAAATTAGAGTTCTTGTGGATTAAAAGCTGCTGCTCAGGAGTGGGGATGCTGCTGGTGTGAGCAAGAGTCTAACTCAGCCCACATCTGATGAAACAGGGTTTTAGTAACCTGTGGAAGTTGCTAAATGAATTCACATGAACTGAACAGCCAACCCTTCCCTCACAAAAACATTCTGAATTGTGGGCTTGATTTCATAAGGGTTTCTGAGTATTAATTTTTTAAGATCTTGTTAGATACTTTCAGGTTTTTTCCTCGGGAGTACTTAGGTGCTTTTGAAAATCAAACTTGCTCCATGTGGCTCTAAGAAATAATCCTGGGAGGGTGGAATGCACAGCCATTAAACTGAAAGACTTGGATTTGTTTACTCCTGTTAATAAAATCATTGCTGAATTAAACTATTTATATTGCTGCAACTAATTCAGTTAACAAGACAAATTTGTTCAGCCTCATCAATGCCACGCTCAGCAGCCTGATAGTGATTAATAAAATTCCCCAACATTCATAAATGTTCTCTGAGATTGAGGAGACCCAACAGAACTGTTATTGTTGTTTTGTTTCTCTTTCAGAGGGGCCATGAAACGGGTCATGAAAGCCATGAACCGGGTGGACCAAAGGAAGCACGAGAAGTTTGCCAACCAGTTCAACTATGCACTGAATTAAATTCTCAATCACCTCTGCCCTTCTTTATTACAAGAGTGCAATGCAAAACCCTTAATCAAAGATATTTGTATTGTCACTACAATACTGTGCTAGGCACGTTTTTACAGGTGTCATTTTTCAATTGTTTCCAAGTTTAACTTATTTGATAATGAATATTAATTTTGGAAAAGATGTGGTGGTGTGGAATTGAATGCATTTAAAAAGTTGATAATTATTTGAAATATGCATGAAATAGAGATGTTTTGTGACTTGTACATAATTTGGGTAAACTGTTCATGTTTTGGGACTTGGTTCTTTTCCTTCCTAAGGGACTTATGTAATTTATACTTCCTTTGACAGTACGTGTGTTTAATTTTCCACTTTCAGGCCTTCAGGGAAAAAGATACTTTAAAAGCAATTTGATTGCTGCCAGGGATGGCAATGCACAGAGCATTTCTCAGCCTTCTGTACAAACTGAGCCACACAAGCAGCACAGCAGCTCCTGCCCCACCTCTACAAACACCTTGGTGCACAGTAAAAAAATCCAAATCATTTGATGCCTTCAGATGATAAATGGAGCAGTGGCCAGTTGTGCTCTTGGAACTTTTCATACAGATTTCTGGGTAAAAAGAATCCAGAGAATCAGGAGGGTTGTGTTTGAAAATCAATTTCAAAGTGACCTGCAGAAGTCTCTAATAAAGTGCTCATTATAGAATAGAATAGATTCTCTATAGCACAGGCTTAGTTACTCACCTGTTGGAGGTGTTTCCTCATGTGTAAGGAGACTCTAAGAATTAAAAACTGGGAAAATTTTAACAACTCAGTGTAACTTCTGACCACCTCAGAGAAAAGCTAATTTACAGTTCTGCCAAATACTTTCTGATTTGCACAGGTATTGCATAGAAAACAATTTATGCTGACTTTTGATAATTTTTCTTGCAAGAGCTCTGTAATTTGGAAGACATATTTTGTTCTTCAACACAGGTTGATATATTTCTGAAATACTGAAACTAAAACAATAAAGAGGCAGAATTTCAAGTAATATCTACTGACTGCACTGGAAAGTTAAGCCACTTCTAGTGTCAGTCTTGCTAATGTGGTAGTAAAGATTTCAGGTGAAAATGTGGATAAGGACAAATCAAGTTCATCACCAAGTCAGTGGAATCAGCTGCTAAACTGATTTGATTCCATACTAAGGATGAAGCCACACACACAAAATAGAAAACATACCCAAAATATAAAACACACAAACCCAGCAGCTCCACCACCTCACACGTTAGAATGTGATGGTAACCATTGAGTGCTGGGATTCCCAGACAGTCCAAACTTCACTGACACTTGGTGATAAACCTTCAAAGAGCCACCAAGGTCATTGTGCCAATATTCCAGAGATTCTTGAGCCTGCAAAGGCTGAAGGTGTTAATTATAAAACATGTTTTCTCCCTGTAAGAAGAATAGGAAATTTATATTGTGCAGTGACTCTTAGCCCTCCTTTGCTGGAGCCATGAAACGTCAGCACTGCAAAGTCCCCACTTGACCCCATGGAGTTCCCATTGGGAGCCTTTAATAAAGGTCCCAAAGACCAAGATTGGGAATGGAAATGGCAGAAATCTGAGGGGGAATAAAAAAAGAAAAGTGTGGTCAGTCAGTTAAGTTCCACTGTGAGCAGCCTGGTCTGATGGAAGGTGTCCCTGCCTCTGGCAGAAGGGCTATGGAAGGGGAAATAGGTGATCTTTGAGGTCCCTCCTAACCCAAACCATGCTGTGGTTCTAATGATGCTACTCAGCCACATCAGTTCTACAATTACCAATTAAAACTTCCTGTCTGAACCCAGTTGGCCAATCTGGCAGTTAAACCTGATCTGTGTGCTTTCTCCCTGTATTAAAAGCATGCTTGGGAAAAAAAAAAAAAAAAAGAAAAAAGAAAATAAAAGGTCTTCCTGGGGTGCTCTTTCATGCAGAAAGAGAATTTTCAAAGTTAAGGTTCCCTGGCAGGTGGCTCAGAAATGGCCAGCTCAGACAGAGGTGCCTGACTTTGGGACAGGTTGATGGCCAGTGCTGACTTCTTTTAAAGCTCTTCTGGTGTTTTTCCTCTGCATCTTTTTCTTCATTTATTGCCTTGAGGCAAGACGAACCATTGACCCTTCATAGGAAAACGTAGATTGCACATCCCCTGTAGCACTTCTTTATGTTCCCATGGTCCGGTGTGGGACAAACCCTTCCCTTAACCCTTGTTAATTACTGACACTTTTAATCCAGTTATTTCTCTGCAAGAGCCACTCAGCAGGTATACACGCAGCAGGTCTTGGATGTTGTCTTGTTAAACCTGGTCAGACATAATTCAGAGATTTTGGGGGAGCTTTCTCCTTTTCCTGAGTTTATCTGTAGCTGTGCTGGAAGAAGAAATTTAAGAAGGCATCTCTCTCCAAAGATCCAGCATACCTCCACTAAATAAAAATGCTTTTATGTTCAAAAATTCAAAATAGGTGAATCTGCTTTTTTGAAATACCACACTTTTTGTGTGCCAGTTTACAAATTTGCGGTCCTGGGCTCACTGGTTCAAATGTTGCTCTACTGTCCCTGTAACATTTGTACTGAAACTTTTCTATTCCTGTGCTCAGGGCTTCTGGGGAAAAAAAGAATAAATACGAGTATAATTCTGATAATCTCTGTGTGTGGTTTTGTCTTTGTAACTCACCCCAGCACCTGTGCAATTGTACTTGTGCTGACTGGGGATGCTGTGTGTGATTTGCAGGTACCTGCTCACCTTGAGGTGATTTGGCCCTTGGAGGGTTGTTAAGGTGAACAGTTGTAATACAGCTGAATATTCTGTTCTTGAAGGGACTCTGGGCTGAAGTGAGCTGTGCTGGTGCAGGTAAATCATCCTGGTGCAGGTAAATCATCCTGTCTGAACCAGGGTTGTGTCAGTGGGACAAACAAGAACTGCAAGCAGACCTTCATGGGTATTCTTACCTGAGCACATGGTTACACCTGGGGAGTAAAAGCCTGGAAGGAAAAAGACCACGGCATGTATGGTCTGGCACTCAAACACAGAGCATTTAGGGGCATAAATGAGCTTGGTATGGACCTTGTGAGAATAAGAATGAGATCCACCCTTCAGCACATCCAAGGTTTCTGGGGCAGGGTGATGAGCCCTTACTCATCTTTAGCACAATGCCTTGTGACTCCATTTTCTCTAAACTCACTTGAGGCTTGGCTTTATCAACCTGGATAGGGCTTAAAGTTTCTATTAGAAAACTGTAACACTAAAAAGTTCCTAGAAATCATGATTAAAATACTTGTAGTTCTTTTCTTACTGGTAAGCAAAACCTACAAATGGGATTTATAAGCGGTTCTGCATGGACAGTGGATCGTGTCACACAGAACAGTTTGCATGTTGGGGAAAGGCTTCAGTTAATCAAAGTGGGCATTATTGGGGAAAAAAAAATGAAGAAACCGCCTTTGTTTTGTGGAAAACGAAAAGCAGACGTGTTCCATTTAAAGTGGCTGTGGAAACGGGTGAGAAGGGTGTTACTAGTTCCAAGGAGCCTCTAGGCAGAGGCAAGTTTCTAAGTTCTGATTTAGTTTTGCTTTTCACAGTCTCGAACATCATCCTAAGGCTTTTCATAGACTAATGTTGTGTTAACTATCTTTTGCAGGGCCCTCTGGGTGTGGGATGGGGACACCAAGAGGATTACAAAGGTGGTGAGAGTGTAAAGAGAGAAATTAGATCCTGCTGGTACATTCAGAGCCCTCAGAGCATCTCTTACTGGATGTGGTGATGGTCCTATTACAAAATCCTCTACAGAAATTGAAGGAATTAAGAGGGACAAGCCTCAAGCAGCAGCCTAGGTCAGACCAGTCGGACCCCTCCCCATCCAGCAGCACCTCCCCACCCCTTCAGCTGGGAGAGGTGTTAAAGATCCTAAAACAGCACATCCCCTAAAAAAAGCACATGTGGATGAGAGCCAGGGCTGCCTGGCAGCTGGGCAGATGGTGGCCTGTGGGATAAAATTGTTCTTCCAGGTGTGGGAGTGGGATGCTGCCCCTGCAGGAAAGGAAGGAGAAAGATCCCTTAATTACTCTTGTTTCTGAGTTGGTGCTTTCCCTCCTCTTCTTCAAAGCTGATTGAGTGGAGAAAGAGAAGGATTCGTGTCCTTGCTGAGCCTTTCCTATCAGCAGGCTCTGGGGAGCCCAGAGCGCCAGTGCCAGCTCAGGGCAGAGGTGGGCAGCAGGCTGTGCCAGGGAGGAGGGCACGGGGTGCTTGTGCCAGAGACAGGCTGCCCCCGAGCCTGGGCAAACCCAGCTGGGCTCACGTCAGCATGATCTGCTTCTCCATCTCTAAACGTGTGTGATGAAATATCATCATTTGCCTTTCTGGGTAGGCTGCCCCTTGCTTTTCTGCCTGCCAGTGCCCTGAGCAAAAACCCAGCTCTCCTGTGCCAAGATAATGCTTTTCCATTATCATGAGGAATCCTCTCTGTTGAGGGGTTAAGGAAAATCTTATTAAATTTTTTAAATGTGGTGCTAATTAGTTTGGATGTAATGAGCAGCATTAGACCTGTGGTTGTTTGAAAGGGGTGGTTGAATAACCATTTCTGCCACATTCCAATTTGCATAATGACAAGGTGTTGGCATTGCATCCACCATTCATTTGCTGTATTTATAATGCCATTATGGAGCCACTCTTATCCTCATGCACTGTAAAAGGTATATGGAAATGTAATATATGATCCTGCTTGTTTGGAAATTGCTTTTGGATATCTTTGAATTTTTGTAATAGTATTTTTGGCAGCTGAAGGCTAACAGCACCACCAGGAGAGTCTGCCACACGGTTTCACTGGGGCAGAAATTAAATGCTGCTTCCACATGTGCAGGGGAGTTCATTTTCCCCAGCGCTGGAGCAGAGGCAGCAGAGGTGAGTGTGATCAGGTGTGCTGCAGAGCGTGCTCAAGGCAAACACGGTATTTCACTCCAAATCACCCCTACAAGGCATAATGCTGGTGCTTGAAGTCCCAAAGAGCGTCCTTAATCACAGCTCTCAGAACATTTAACAGGTCACAGAGAGTGCAGCTTGGTGCTGTGAACTCCGGGGCAGCGCAGGGAGCTGGAGGAGCCCAACCTGCAGCTCATTCAGATTCTCTCTTCCTGCACTTCTGCTCCCCTCCTTGGGAACCAAGGAACAGGAAATAGACTTGTCACTCTGCCTGTGTCACAGTGGAAAGGCAGGAGAGACTCCCTGTATGAGCATGATGAGTTCTTGTAATGTATGTGGTGGTTACAGAGAAAAAATTAGAAAGAAAAATAGCTATAATTCATTTATTTGTACTAAGTCTAGTAGGATTATTTTGCTTCTCTTGAAAAAGCAGCAGTTTACGGAGGGGGTGAATATTTACAGTGTAAACCATCACCCCACATAAATGTTACTGTGACAATATTTTGGTTCTTTGCTCTGGTGTCATCTCTCCCTCATTGTCACTGTAAAATGTTTCTGTGTCATTGCAGAGAAGAAAATCTACAAGATGTATTCTAAAATAAAGTCTATCACTTTGGGTGAGCCTGGCTCGTTTTAGCCACCTGAACCTGTGTCACATAATGAGAATAAATTAGTAAATCACATGCAGATATTGCCTGACCCTGCATGTCCAGACTTTTATGTTCTGGCCATGCTCTGGTTTCTGGCTGCTTCTCTATCAGTGCAAGGCTCATCCACAGGATTTCCAGCACCAACAGGATTTCTCCTCAGTGGGCACACAGCTGTAGCCTTCCAAGGCTTTGATAACCTGTTTTAAAGCTTATTCTGTATCATGGGCTCACATCTCTGCCAGACAGCATCAGGAAAGGAGAAAAGCTCTTCCTGTCAGGGTTATTTTCACTGTGACAGCCCCCATTCTGTCCACCTGAGATGTCTGTTTAGTGTGAGCATGTGGCACACAACACAAGCATGTGAGCAAGGGGGAAAGAAGTGAAAAACCCACCAGATAGAGAATTTGGTTTATGTAAACCATTTATGTGAGCCCACTTTGAGCAACAAACTGATTAAGATCCTCTTTTTTTACTTGCCTGTCCCCTTCATTCCCAGTGTTCCCCTGTTCCCTGCCTTGGTTTACCTCGCAGAGTCTGGAAAATCTTCCAGTATCAGAAAAAAAACTTTATTTGCTCTTAAGAAAGGCTCTAAAACAACCATATTTACTTGGTTATCTTTGAGACAGAACATGAAGACCAGAAATGCCCAAACATTGTGAAATAATTTTCCTTTAAGTATTTCAATTCAACTGTTTGAGCAGAATTTTTTGTCATGTAATACAGGAATTAATATTTGTTAATATAGCAGACTGCAAGCAGACATCATGGTGTATTTTTGGAAAATGAATTTGAGTTTATACAGACAAAGCTTTATTTTTAAAATTTCACTTGTGTAGTGTAAGACTAGAAATGTGTAACATGACTGAGTTTAGTCTCCAACAGAAGCTCTGAAATGGATGTCAAAAATGTCTAAGAATTAAAAAAGTAACTCACTGCACCCTGCTCTGGTGGAAACAACACAAGGAATTCCTGCAGGTGATAGTACAGAACTGGTTTGCAAAGGCTTTGTAAAACATCATTGCTGAGTGAAATCAATGACAAAAAATATATTGAAATATTTTTCCATTCTCTCTCAATTGTTTGGAATGTATCTGTCTGTATTTATGTGCTTCTTTCTGTTGTTTTGATTATAAGACATTTTACTGAACAACTGAAACTTGTTGAGTATAAGCTGAATTATATGAAATAAAATAAAGCACTTTCCTTTTTTAACCTCATTCATTCACAGAGTGAACAATAGCAAGATGCAATTAATATCTGCATCTTTTCTTACTAATACAGGTTTGCACCCTTGGATTTAGCATTGATTTCATGGGAATTAGTCCAAAAATGTGCTGATGCGCCAGATCATCTCTGGTACCTGCCAAAGACATCTCTTGAACACACTGAACTGGGGTTTGAATGTGCTGCTCAGTCTGTCAGAGCTGAGACTCTGCCCTCTGGAAATGCTCTGCTCAGTGTCCCCTTGGATCTGCTCCCTGTCCTGAATCCCCTAGCACTTCACTTTTTTGTTCTATGAATCATGAAGTAATTAAAAAGACAATTTGACTGACAGAATGAACCAGTGCAAACACCTCCTGCTTGTGTCATAGCCCTCATCCCCTCGGTCAGAGTGTTCCGCTTGCTCTGCTCCATTGATGGTTCATGGAAAACGAGCTCCAGGGCCCTGGGCAGGAGCACCAGGGACACCAGACGGGCACCACGGTGGAATTGGCTTTTGGGGGTCACTGTGGGAGCTTTGGGGGCTTTCTGTGACCACCTAATGGCACAACCTGAAATGCTGCACCGAGCCCTGTCTGACTCCTGCAGAGCCAGCGTCAGTGGGCAGGAACAGGGGATGGAGCTGGGAGCTTCAGGCAGGTGAGAGCATTTTGTTCAGCACACAGGGGCTGAGCACTCACAGCTGAGCTGCTCCTCAGCAGCTGCCCCGTGTCAATACCATCATTCTTCTCACTGTCACCACCCACACGCTCTGATCCAGCACCACGAGCCAGCTGCAGAGTTCTGCTCCAGGGAGCATTATTGGAGCTGGCTCTTTGGTGTTGGTGCAGACAGTACCTGTGAGCAGAGTGTCAAACAC